ATTGGATCTTGAACTTCCTTCACAACATCTTGAATTTCCTTCTTAGAATTGCTTAGGACAACGTCAGATCTCTGTTGATACAATATTTCAGCCTTCGGAGTTTGATAATTCTCACTTTAAGCTTGGGAGTTTCTTCGCTATTACCATAGATGAGACATAGGAACATAAACTTCTCAGGAGAAAAATTTCTTACTGCTTAAATATCTCTACTTCATAATTAACAATCAAGCTTAGTTTGTTAACAACAAAAACTTGTTTGATTCGTAAGGCAGATGTTCTAGATTACCTTAGCATTATTTGGGCAATGTCATCTTGCAACAGCAAATGAACTCTGGATTCCTAATGCAGGATTGAACTTCAATTTGTGCACTTATCCATGGTGAATAGGTGATTCTTTGGTTTTTCATTTTACTAGGGAGGGAGGTGGAGGGAGAGAGGGAGGGGGAGAGAGAGAGTGATACTTGTCATAATTGATTTGATATGATATGTAAGAGAGATGGATTGGCCGCTTCTGTGTGTATTATGCAAACTTTATCTTTCTTCCCCTTTTATATACTTCTGCTTTTATGCTTATTCTGATCCCAAAGTTTCTCATGATCAGCTGCAGGAGAACATTGATCTCTTTTGTCGTGCAAGGAACAATATAAATACAGTATTAAATGAGTATGTGGTTCATATTATTATTATTTTTAAAACCTTGATTGCTGTCTCTGTGATAGTTTTGTGAAGCTACAAAGTTTTTGGTGCTTGCAGAATGAGAAGTATGCCTGGGATAATGAGTCAGATGCCTCCACTTTCTGTAATCATAAATGAGGAACTTGCAAGTAGTATTTTGCCTAGTTCATCTCAGGTGATTTTGCAGTCCTTGCTTTTGAATATCTCGGTACATTGAGGATATCTTAATTTCTCATAAAACATCTCACCCCTCCTATTTTTTTCATGCATGAAGGGTGTATGGGTTTCCTTGCTTCCTCTCAATTTAATATCTTATATCATACAACATAAAGCTGACTAGTACTACTTGATTATCACTTGATTTAAACTGAGATCTGGTGCAATGTTGAGTATAATACGAGCTGTGATGGAAAACATAGAAGACACTACTAGGAATTTTTAATAATTCTTCCTTTTCTTTATTAAGCCTTACATTTTACTTCTGAGAAGTTTTCACTGGGTCAAGGTGTTATGTAACTATCCATTCTTTTCTGAATGGTCAAACGATGTTA